TTACTAACGCGGTCTAGCACAAAATAAAGTTCATCAAATAAAGTTTATCGTTTGGTTTAATGAAAGGAAATGACATGACGTGTGGCCAAGTATGGTGCCCCATTACTCGGAATTTGTGCTCTACATTTACCCATCCAAGTGCACACACACAGCAGTGAGTAGTGAACAAACACACACACACACCTGTAGAGTTTCTGCATAGACCTGCATTTGCCAGTCTTGTCATTCACCTACTACGTGCGCAAATCAGTGGGCGGGGCTAAACAGGCAGTAATGTAGAAGAAGGCGTTGATCTTCTTCTGCTGAGGTGATGTTTAGCCACACTATTATGTCATAAAATGGCACATTCCAGAACCTGTCATTTTGGCTTCAATATAAGCTGTTTTTAGACTGACGAGAAAGTTTTGAGTTCTGAAACTTACAGAATGTTTTTATAGCACAATGACTTTTGATTTCAAGGAATTTTGATTTCTTAGTTCATGACCCCCTATTAAAAAGTAATATATTTAAAATACATTTATTTCATACTAAGTATAGTTCAAATTTATTAACATATTTAATGACAGATAACTCGAGACTTACTGATATAAAAATTATAATTAAACTTAATTTGGCATACTATATGTGCACAATGCACATTTCTTAATATTAAGCCTAAAATGTGTTTTAATGTCACTTTTGATGAGGATTGTATGATCTTTGAATAATATCAGTCTTTAAATGCTAAATATTTAAAGTGTACCAGAAGTATACTTGCAATAGTTCCACTTTAGCACAATGAAATATACTTCATTATATCTTTAATTGGACTTCAGCACTACTTCCGCACAATTAAAGTGCATTAATTACAAACTTAGTTGTTCCAATTGAGCAGATTTTAAGTATACCAGTTTAGTATACTAAAAGTACAATTTCATGGTATTTTATTAAGTACATAAATATGTTAATATATTTGTAGTATACTTAGCATAAATTAAATGTATTTCAAATGCATTTAAGTATATTTATTTTTCACTAGGGCTCTTTAAAAAACAGTTTTTCACCAAACAAAATAATTTCTTCTCAATGATTTCTTGTTCACCTTTCTGCAGGATAGTTTATTTGTTTATTATCAATAAATGAGCCTGCAACATAGTAAACTGAAACCACTCGGCGTTTAAAGAGAAAAAACAGAAGTTATTTTACAAAAATCATCAAATTGCAACAAAGCGGAAGGACACACACTATCCTCCGATCACCTGCGAGCTAGTTATGGAGATGGAAAAGGAGAATAAAACAAGACAGGAGCACTAAGGGGCAGCTTTAATATAGCCACATATTTATAATAAAATAAACTCGAACCATTAGTATAACTGCTTAATGCATTAGTATTAATGATCAATGCATTATAAAAATACTTTACAAATTGGTCCCTTTACTCCCCTGCACCGTTCACCTTCTCCCATGTTTCCTCCATCTCTGTACATCAATGTTGGTGGCCTTGTTTGTCTATTTACATCTACTAACGTCACATGTCTGCAAATTAAAAATTTTACTCCAATAAGGGGGAGAAGGGGGCGCGATGTGCAATGACGAATAACCCTACAGCACATTAATTATTGCATTGATTGGCTTTTACCTGCGAGCAGACAGTGTCAACAATATATTGGAAACAAACATCGACCATAAATGTAAAGAAACAAAGTTGCTTGTCAGGTTTTTCTTAACAAGCAACCATATTTTTCAAAATAAGCCCCAAAAAAAACGCAACCTGCGACCCGTGATTTTTTCAATGCGACTTTGCAAAAAAGAAGCCCAGAGTTGCGTAAAATTTGAGGACTTGGCAACTGTGGTTACATTACTAAGCTCGTCACTGATTCGTTTACTCAGATGGGGCCTCATTTATAAAATGTGCGTACGCACAGATTTGATGTTAGAGTGTGCGTACGCTAAAATCCACGGCAACGTTCATATTTATAAAAACGGTCTTTGACGTGGAAAACTACTTACCGCCACGTCAGGGTCTGCGCAGGCGTACGCACTTTTCCTTGTGGCAAAGTCGGAGTACTGCAGCTATTTGAACATCTAATCTGCAATAATAATAAAAGCGGTGTACGTGCAAGCACCGAATTCATCATCAACAACAAAGATGCAGTGTAAGAGATTAATTGTGCTGTGTAGTCAGATTTTTTATTAACGGGAGTTTTTTGCGAGATTAAACTTACCTTTTTAGTAGCCTAATGTTGAGAGTTCTTTACTCGCTTTCTGTACACAGTTTATTCCATGTTTTTATTATTATTTTACAAGAGAACTTGCGAAGTCTTGATTTACTACTAGTGCGTAAAATAGAAGAAAAAAAATGCATAAACACATCTCCGACTGTTTTGTCTGTGTAGCTATAAGAATAGGCCTATGTCGTGCAATAACGGTTTTTAATAGCCTATATTCTATTCAATAACATTGTTAAAGGGGTCATATGATGCGATTTAAATTTTTCCTTTCTCTTTGGAGTGTTACAAGCTCTTGGTGCATAAAGAAGATCTGTAAAGTTGCAAAGACTAAAGTCTCAAATCCAAAGAGATATTCTTTATAAAAGAGTCAGCCACGCCTACCTAAAACGGCTCGTTCTAACACGCCCCCACATATCTACGTCACGATGTGGGAAGATTTGTATAACGCCGCCCAAATGTTCACGCAAAGAAAGAAGGTGTAACTTTTATTCTCGCTGTAGTATTGTTGCCGCCGCCACCGCCATGTCGTGAAGGCGCTGTGTGATTCGTTGTGAAAACAAAACTACTTTGTTTGGCCTTCCAAAAGAGGACGATATCGCTTCGTCATGCCTGGAGCTGATCCGTGCTGGTTGCTGAGGAAATACATCAACAGCGCTGTGGATCACCTGATCGGCTTTCACCGTGGACGAAGCGAAGTCCAGCCCGGGGTCGTCACATGTGGTTGCCGCAAGCCCTCCGGACGAGTGGACTACAATGCCGGCTGTTCTGACTCACAGATTGTAAGTACGTTTTTTATATTTTTTATATAAAGAATTTGCCACTGATGATTCAAGCGCGAGTTCTGGGCAGTGTAGAGTAGGGCTTGTTGTTTGTCATTCCTCCGATCACAAATGCAGACATGGTTTTATGTTTACGCGGCGCGATGCAATGCAACTTGCACGTACACCGCTTTTATTATTAAGCAACAAAGATGCAGTGTAAGAGATTAATTGTGCAGTGTAGTCAGATTCTTTATTAACCAGAGTTTTTGTGAAGATTAAACTGACCTTTTTAGTAGCCTTCTTTATTCGCTTTCTGTACACAGTTTATTCCATGGTTTTTTATTTAATTTTACAAGAGAACTTGCTAAGTCTTGATTTACTACTAATGCGTAAAATAGAAAAAAAAACATGCATAAACGCATCTCCGACTATTTTGTCTGTGTAGCCTTTAAGAATAGGCCTGTCGTCTAATATATCGGTTTTAATATATTCTATTCGATAACATTGTTAACTGTATTCATTTTCACAGAAGCAAAGCAGCAGATGTTATAAATAAAAAAAGACATCAGCCTTAAACTTTGTTTTTGTCATTTACATCAGTTATATTTGTATAAAATACACTATATATTTTTGTGTCAGTACATTAATGGCACATTTGAGCAGCATTAGTAAACTGTGTAGCCTAAATATAAAGAAATGCCAAATCAAATGCAGGTTTTTTCAGACCGGAGACCATAATCGTGTAATAATTAATTTTATTATGAAAGGAAATTCCAATTTTTCTTTCAATAATGTGTTTTTGTAAGTTTTGCAAAAATGTTGTGATATTAAACTTTTTATTAGTTGTCATAGCAAGTGATTTTAAAAGTAGGATGGCTCACTTTTTATAAGATGACTGTAATTAGGGGGCGTTTACAAGGCGGAGATCTGACACCAGGTCAACTGCGCACAATTTCAAGTTCATTTGCAATTGATAAATGTCACATCTGGAAGAGAGGCGTACGCACATGTTTTTGTGCGAACGTTCGTTTTCTCTGAATCGCACATTCGCACTTTTGAGAAATTATCTTAGAACAAATTTAGGACGGTTTATACGCAACATTTTATAAATGAGGTCACTGATTCGTTAAAAAACAGAGTTGTTCAGTGAACAAAATAATACATTCTAAATTAAACGTTCACCAATTTGTTCACCTAAAAGATTCATTCAGATTTGTGCACTAATTTGTTTAGTGACCCACTATTCAGGACAAGTTACATTATGAGTGAGTCTCTCTGATTAATTCACTCAACTGATGTGTTAAAAACAGATCATCCCTTTATATTTTTATGAAAATGTGTGCACATACAACTCTACCAAGCAGCAATGTTTTTCCCATTGTCTGTGACAGAATCAAAAAAAAAAAAAGCCTGCCACGCACCAGTTGTGAGCATACATGCTAGTTTTATTTTGGGCTCTGTCACTTTTTTATTGACAGACTGGTGGGAGAGAGAGAAAGAAGAACGGGATCATGACCAGACACAGGCTGGATTCAAACCTGCATCTCCTACATGAGCAACGCATTCCGAACTATTTATCTTCCTGGATATTTTTATATTTAGTAACATGCATACACGGTAGTGCTCATATTTTAAAAGACACACAAAGGCATATGGAGTCCCTGTAGTGTTGGCCTGCTTCACTCTGAAAGCTGAGTCTGCCTTTTGTCGTCTCGGAGGTACTGAAGCTGACTGGCCCACTCCAGTTACTGGAGTTCAGCTTTTGTAATTGCATTCATATATCCCACTGTTCAAGTCCCAGTCCTCCTTTCCCAGACATCAATAACCAGATTGTGTGTGTGTATGTGTGTGTGTGTGTGTTTGTGAAAGAGGGAAAATGCTAGAGAGAGTCAGCGTGGTGTCATGATTAAGGAACTGTTAAACAGAAACAAACTCTGCAAAAACTGTCTCTGCTTCTATCTGCTGATTTACTGCACCAAAAACATACAGCATATGGAAATATCTTTTTTTGATATAATGTAATACTCACCCAGACCGAGGCATGATACTCTCAATCCAGATTTCCCAAGGTTCCTAGACAGACAAGAGAGAGAGGGGGGGGGGG